TGGACCAGAATGTTAAGCTTATAGCCGGTGAGGGGGAACCTCTTGAAGATCCAGAGCGGTATAGGAGACTGGTGGGAAAATTAAATTACCTTACCATCACTCGCCCAGATATTGCCTTTCCGGTGAGTGTGGTGAGTCAATTCATGGCAAATCCGGAGAAAGTCCATTGGGAAGCTGCAGTTCGAGTTGTGAAGTATTTAAAGGGTGCTCCTGGGAAAGGAATTTTGTATGCCAATCATAGGCATGTGAGGGTTGAGGCTTTCTCTGACGCTGATTGGGCTGGGTCACCAAGTGACAGGAGGTCAACGACGGGGTATTGTGTGTTCCTTGGTGGCAACCTAGTGTCGTGGAAAAGTAAGAAGCAAAGTGTTGTGGCCCGCTCTAGTGCAGAATCTGAGTATAGAGCAATGGCTCATGTGGCGTGTGAGGTGACGTGGTTGTGTAATATCCTTGGGTAGATTGGTGTAGAAGTGAGTAAACCAGTTCCTTTATGCTGTGACAACAAAGCCGCTATACACATTTCGAGCAATCCTGTGTTTCATGAGCGCACTAAACATATTGAGGTAGATTGTCACTTTGTGCGGGACAAGATTCAACAAGGGCTACTTTCTGCTGTCCATGTCCGAATTGGTGATCAGCTGGCGGATGTGCTTATGAAAGGCCTTAGTAGAGCCAGGGTTGAGTATATTTGTAACAAGCTGGGCATGATTAACATCTATGCTCCAGCTTGAGGGGGAGTGTTAGATGAATAAGGGTTAGTTAGAGTTAGGTGCTTGTTCTCTCATTTGAATTTCAAATTCTTTGGCTGGTACTCTTCCAACCTTTGTATAAATAGGGTTCCTCTTGTACAGAAATAGATCAGAGAGAATACACAGAAAATACACACTGTTCTTGTATTTCAACGTTTAACATCAACGGGGTTAGGTGCCGTAGCGGGGCTAGACGGGGACCCCGGTCACGTCGCGACCGGGGAGGGCGGCGATCCTCTTGAGGATGAGATGCCCTGTCGCCTTGTCCGCGGCCTTCCTCCTCCTCCTTCTTCCTCTTCTCTGCTGCCTTTGCGTTGGCATACCGCGCGGCGCGGTCCATCAATTCTGTGTACGTCTTCGGCTCATTCCGAACAAGGTCGCTATAGAAAGGACCCGACCTGAGGTTGTTGGTGAAAAACGGGATGGCGGACCTTTCGTCAAAATTTGTCACCCCCATATATAGCTTCCTTCTTCCACTTACTCAGGTACTCCGCCAAAGATTCCGACTTGTCTTGCTTCAGGTAACATAGGTCGGCGAACTGCTTCCGCCATTGTATGCTGCCTGCGAAGTGTGACATGAACTTCTTGGTCAGGACCACAAAAGTGGGAATGGAGTCCCCCGGGACGGACCCGAACCAATCCTGGGCCTGCCCATCCAGAATCGTGCAAAAACCGCGACACATGATGGCGTCATTAACGCCTGTCATCATCATGACTGCCTTGTACCTGTTGAGGTGGTCCCGCGGGTCCGTCGCCCCCGTGTAGGGTTTGATGGTCGGGAATCGGAAGTCCCGAGGTAGGGGCTCGGCCATGATGGCCCCCGTGAAGGGTGTGGCCAAGGCGTCCCGGGGGCTCCGGTGACTCGTCACGTGCCTCCATCTTGCGCAGCAGCTCGCGAATCTGTCGACGCAACTGTTCCATCTCTTCACGCTGGGTGCTCGGAGGTTGGCCTCTGGTCTCCCCCGAGCGTTCCACTGGTGGGGTCGGCTCCCGCGGCCTAGGGACACGGGGTTCGTGGCTCCGGGACCTCCGTGAGCACGATGACTCCTCCTGCCTAACGTGTGTGGCCGGCCCCGGCCCTAGGCAGTCTCGCGCTGGTGCACGTGGGCCCAACCGCCCGAGCGCGGAGGTGGTCCGCGCCGGCCGAGTCTGCCTTTCCTCTCGCTGCTCGTGTCGGCCTCGGGTGGCTTCCGCCCTGTCGCGCCTCCCAGAAGGTCGTGGTGAATTGACTTCCCCCTCAGCCAGCGCTGCGGGTTCCCGGGGTGCGTGAGTGCTAGGGCCACTGCTCACCCTCGGAGGGGGCGGAGGTGGGGGTGCTGGGTCACCCCGGCGCAGCCCTGCCGCGACGCGGTTGAGCGCGTTCGCCGCCTGCTCCAGTATGGCGGCATCTTGTTGGGAGGTCGGGACCTGCGGTGGCGCGGGTGGCGCTGTCCCGCCGAGAGGGCGATTGTTGGTGAGACGACCCCGGAGGTCCTCCGCGGCCCCCCGCCGACTCCCGTTGATCTGATCCCGGAGGTCCTCCCCGGCCCCCACGGACATGGTCTGTCGGCTTGCCACGATCCCGTTAGGGCGGTTGACAAGGGCGAGGTTGCGTGGGTTGCGCGAACCCCGCGAGTTGTGGGTGTTCGAACCAGATCATGTCATTGCTGTCAATGAAGGATAATAGGCAGAGCGCTTAAGCTTGTACAGCCGCTCTCAACAAGAGCATCAATGATGGATTATATGAACCCGGGGGTCCGGATTATACAACCCGTATATGTAATGGAATACAACGAACGAATAATAAAACGGTAAATATTGTATTAATTGGATATAAAACACTATTACAGAGGTTCGGGACGTGTAATAACAGGACAAATTTTGTAGGAAAAGTATGAGATGCCTCATTAGGACACCGGGGGGTGTTTATATACCCCCTGGCTGCTACGGGCCCTGGGCTCGCGGGTGGAGCCGCGGCCCGCGCCGCGGGACTCGCTCCGCGCGAGGACCCGGCCCTTGGCCGAGCACGAAGCCCGACCAAGGGGCCGAGCCCCGTGGGGTCGGCCCGCGCCGACCCCTACTGGGCCGATCCCGGGGTGGCTCGTCCTGCATCGCGGGTGGGCACGGGGTCCGACCCGGCTCGTATCGTCCTGCCCCGCTCTGACTCCGTGATTATTCCATAAGATATAAATTGAACTTCACTTATAAACTCACTAAATCCTTCATTGTAATTCATAACATTAACTCACACAAATCAATGGAACAATAAAAAATGTTCATTACAAATAGAATTTCCTACGATATCTCTACTTACAATGCTAATACATAATTTTTTTCCCCATTTTACATACAATTAATAAAAATTCACTACAAGAAAAATGCACATAGACAACGGTTAATAACCGTTGTCGTAGGGGTAAAGTTTCTGTTGTTGAAGCCAGTGTTGTTGTAAGTCCCGCGCATAGACAACGGTTAAAAAACCGTTGTCTTTTCTAGAAACAACAACGGTTTTTTAACCGTTGTCTACTAAGTGTTGTTGAAGTTGGTGTTGTTGTAGGTAACGCACATAGACAACGGTTTTAAACCGTTGTCTTTTCTAGAAACGACAACGGTTTTTTAACTGTTGTCTATTAAGTTTTGTTGAAACTGGTGTTGTTAAAAGTCACTCACATAGACAACGGTTTAAAACCGTTGTCTTTTCTCGAAACGACAACGGTTTTTTAACCGTTGTCTATTAAGTGTTGTTGAAACCGGTGTTGTTAAAAGTCACGCACATAGACAACGGTTTTTAACCGTTGTCTTTTCTATAAACGACAACGGTTTTTTAACCGTTGTCTATTAGGTGTTGTTGAAACTGGTGTTGTTAAAAGTCACGTACATTAACAACGGTTTTAAACCGTTGTCGTTTCTTTCAAAGACAACAGTTTTTGACCCGTTGTCTATTCAGTGTTGTTAAAACCGGTGTTGTTAAAAGTGATGCACATAGACAACGGTTTTTAACTGTTGTCTTTTCTTTAAAAGACAACAGTTATAAACTGTTGTCTTTTGTAGAAAAGTCAACAGTTTCAAACTGTTGTCTATTGTAAAATAGACAACGGTTTTTAACCGTTTTTAACCTGCTTAAATTTTAATCATATAAAAAAATCATTTTATCCATTCACCATGGCCAAGTGTAGTTACATAATTTTGCACAAGCTAATAAGGTTCAAAATAACAAGTCAAAATACTTCCATCACCAATTCTAATTATCATCCAAGTCATAATACTACAAAAAAACAATTCCACGAACCAAGTCTAAATGATCACAACGTTTTAATGATCAAATCATACCTACTCTATATAACTTGATAGAATATCCGCAGAACGCACTAGATCAATAACCGCTTTGTCATAATCAACATGTTGGAACTACATGTAAAAAGTGATTAAATAAATTAGTATAGATATAATAAATTTGAAATGAAATGAGAAATAAGTTAGCCATGAACAACATATTAAAGAGATTCCCATGCGAAATAAGTTAGCCATGCGAAATAAATGCCATATAATATAATAACTTGCTGGAAAGATATTCCCAGATTAAAGAACAACAACAAATTAACTGCTTTTTCAAACATATATATAAATTTGTATTGCAGAACTCACCGTTTTCCTTCATGATCAAATCCCCCATTTTTTCTTGCTCAATTACACATTGAATTTATTCATTATTCCATATCTGAAACCCTAAGCATTGATCACTGATTCTCAATGTCTGCAGCTTCACAATTCTATAGAGATGGGGTTGATAGGTGCTTTCATGGATTATGCTATTGGTTTTTATAAAACTTGAGCAATTCTGGTTGATAAAATGTGGACTGCCCAATCACCATGCATGCTTATTCTCTTCATACTTTTATCATCTTTATAAAACTAACATCCTACCATAATATATATCTAATTGTCCTCAGCTATAGTGTTTTTTTCTCAATTTTGTCTTAAAAGACTTTGGTGCCATAAAGTAGTCTTAGACTTTTGTGTTAGAGAAAATGGAATTAACTCTAATAACACAACCAAACATATTAATATAACATACACTAATATTAACCAAACACAATTCCAATACAACATCCCAATAACCTAGCATTCCGAAATAAACTCCCCCCAAGTGCTTGGTGATAACCATTAACCAGATAAGGTGGGAAAAGGACCTACAAGGATAAGTTGTGGATTTACTTTCCAGGAAAATTTTAGTAAAATGTTTTTTAAACATCAGTCAAAAACCATATTGTCAAAGAATAGAAATACACCGTAATTAACTAATAGCAATAAATCAATACTCCATAACCTTGTGTACGGGAAACAAAAAACTATATTTTTATAATGCCTCAAAATCCTATACCTTCCTTCGCGTTTCCCAATTCCCGCTTGAACTTGCATATTGTTCTCAAGGAGCAGCAAAACTTAGAATACAACCCTAGTACAGTCATGCTAGTTCCTTCACTTCATTGCCTGCTATTTCAAGGCATCGCAAAATCAATGTTTTACTTCTCAATTGTTGCTGATAATAATTATAAAAATAAAAATAAAAATAAGAAAACCCAGAAAAAAGCTTCTTAGTTGTGATTGAAAGGATAGAACTCACTCTCGGAATCTGTTCTCGAGGTATTTTGAGGTGCCTTCCTGTTCAATGCCTTGGCTGAAAAATTATTATGCAAACTCAATTTTCAAGGAATGAAGTGAAATCTAGTACACAATATTGTACACTGCCAGTCTAGAAATCTACATGAAGTTGAATAATATATTTGAGTAGATTCATGGGTATGAAACCATGCAATAAAGAAATGAGGTGATTTCTACTCTATTGATCATGTAAACAATTAGTGAAGAGATTTGAAAATAAAGAGCTGCAACAATAATAATCTACGTAGTAATTAGCCAACAAGACACCGGTAAAAGCTAGGATACAAACAATAAACTAGGTGAAGGAAAACTACGGAGTGAAAAGATGCCACAGAAGAAATTATAAAAACAATTAAATAACATCATATCGTATTCCTTGACAGATCAAAACAAGAACTACATAAAACTACTAGCCAATGAAAGTGCAAAGCAACATATTTAAAAAATAAATAAATAAATCAAGCAAATATAACTCAAAACTTAGTCACATCTAGATCAATGAATCTGGAAACAACACTCAAGGGGTGTGATATATTTTTTGATTTTTCTCCATAAAAAATGGAGAGGCATGCCTTCATAGATTCAGAAATATTGGGCAGTATGTAATATCATAAATTTTTTAACAAAAGGGCTACTAATAAAGAAACCTCGATCTTCATATTTGGGATCAACAACAAATATAAAAAATACCATTTGAAAACTCACCTTTGAATTTCCTTTTCTTTTTCGCTCTCCTCCTCTTCTTCTCTGCTTGTGTCAGCTCTGTTCCTTCTTTAATACCATTTGAAAACATCTGGTATATACAGTTTTAAAGTTGTCTAAATAAAATCCAGACAATATTCGAAATGTACTTACCTAAGCCATTGCCACCCCATGAACACCTCCTTCAATGTCCATGGCATCATCATCAAAATCTTTTAAGGTTGCAAGTTGTCTGTTGAATATAACATTCATATAAAGATTACCAGTTAATGTAAATATTATAATTGGCTTCACTTTTGCACTAGAAAGTACTCAGATTAACATTTAACAATTAAAAATCACAAATGCATAAAGCAAATTATACCCATTCGCTAGTCGTAAACGTTTCTTAGAGTTCTCATGTTTTGCTGCTAAAGAACTGAAGACACCTTTCTGTTTCAGCTTCTCCTCATGTTAAGAGTAACTGCACGGTGACTCTCAAGCTTAGCAAATGCTTTCTGTAGTTGCTGTGTCTTAGAGGTAGTGGAATCCATGAGTGTCACAACTGACTGTGAATCCTCCATAGCAGACAAGTGCCGGACAAACTACAGATATACAGCTCAATTAATATGGAACATAACAAAGAGAAGATAACCACATTGATGCATTAAGGGGAGATCCCCAACTAAATGCAACTTCCAAAATCATTTTCTAAAAAGAAACCCATCCATGCCTCTCCCTCTCATATTTTTGCACACTTTAATCTCTTTCAATGAAGTGCATGCACAAGTGATAATATATACAGAATGATAAACATGCCATCAAGTACTTGACAAAGTGAAAACACTAAAAATACTTCAAAATCAGAATCAAGTTACAGAACATGCTCATCTAGCATCATAGATTTAGAGTAAATATCATTCATTAATGATGTTTTATAATTGACATCGTGAGCAACACACCTCATGTAAAGATGTTCCCTATTCATGATGTTAATTCCCAATTTTTCAAGTGCAGCCCTCAAGCCCTTAGTGGCATTATCGTTAACAATTACATTATCCACAGTAACACTAAATACCTTGTCAATACCCCAACCAAGTAAGCGCTTCCCTATGACATCTCCTAAAGCTATCTGTATTACTCTCAATTGGACGAAAGTTCATAATTCTTTTCTGAAGCTTCCAATTGCCATCTATCCAGTGAGCAGCGAGACACATGTAAGAAATACTTTCAAGGGATGTCAATTTTTCTATGGTGAGAGACACTCTTGGCTTTTCATTTTTGAAAAGATTATTCAGCTTAGCTCTCAGATCTATATATATCTCCATTGAATATTTAGCAATGGTACTACGAGATGGATGCTCAAATTCAGGGGGAAAGGCGACAACACAAAACTCTTTGAATCCTATTCCGTCAACAAAACTCGAGGTTGAAGGCGGCGGGAAAGCTGACGAGTAGCCAGCCGAACTTCAGATTGACTTTTAAAAAAATTTAAGAATTTGTAACACATTAGAGCATTCTATAATAATGTATTTTATCCAGATCAGATACTAAATGGTTTCAAAATTACTCAACAAACTTCATATGAACTTCATTGTCCCTGAAGGGCAGTAGCAGCATGTTCCTCCTCTCTGAACTGAATATACACATTGCCCACCTAATAGCAAGAAAATAGGTAACAAAAATTAAAATACCAAACCTTTTTTCCAGAATAACAAGCATACCATGTGGTATGCTAAATTATCACAGATGTTAAGATTCTCAATCTCTTCATATTTGCTAAGCTCCTCAAACAAATCCTCATAGAAGTCCTGCACAATCAGAATTATGTCAACAATTACACCAAAGGAAAGCTAAAAGCTTGCATCAAGCAATCACAGGGAATCGAATGAAAATACCTAAAAGCTAAAAGTGCCAATTAAGCTTCAAAGAACAATTCCATTCGCCAAGTCAAAAGATCTTATATGGAAATGTCAACGGTCCACAGGATAGAATCTTCTCACTTTACTGTATCACATACATTTGAAAAATCCAACAATTAATCTAGGGTTTAAGAACACTCACAAGTTTCAAATATGAAAAATTGAACAATAGAATTAACACTAACCTAGGGTTGAAGACTAACCTGTACCATGTTGATGGAGGGAAGAGGCGACGTCGGCAGGCCGGGGAGGGAAGAGGCGACGGCTGGCAGAGGAGGGAGAATACAGCGAGGGTGAGACGGCAACGGAGGTGTGAGACGGAGCGGCGGTGGCGGTTCTAGACGGCAGCAGAGGTGTGAGGTCTGAGGTGTGAGTGTATGTCATGTACAGGAAACTGATAGCGAAACTAAAAAAATTTGCTAAGTGTAGGAGGGAAACTAAACAATTTTGCTAAGTATAGGAGGGAAACTAAAAAAAATTGCCAAATGTACAGGAGGGGAACTAAAAAATTTGCTAAGTGTACAGCTGAGGCTTATTATTATTATTAATTATTTTTTGGAAGGAAATTACAAAAATTTTTAAAAATAGAGAGGGAAGACATTTTTAATTTAACTAGTATTTTTGCCCGTGCGATGCACGGAATGGATTTGTTGTAATATATTAATAGTATTTGGATCGATATATAATTATTTAAATTAGAACATCATATATTGTGTAGTGAAATTGAAGGTATGGTTTGGATCGTTTATGTGTTTTTATGTTATCAATGCTTGAATTTGAGCAAATAATTGCTCAAATTAATAGCTAATGTGTAGATGTACGCATGCGGTGCTCTAACTTTGAAGATTTTATTTATCAATGTTCAGTATTCTTATAGATTAGGCAAATGTGCTTGTTCTCTAGCAATTCAGTTACAAGAATGAATTGATATCATAATTCATTTGTATGGAAAATATATTGGGACTGGGTATCATAACCCGGGTATATAGGTACAGAACGCGGGGGGGGGGGGGGGGGGGGGAGGGGGGGGTAAGAAAATAATAGCTTTATTACTTGGGGCACTAGGCCCAAAATAGTAACGGGTATATAGGTACAGAACGGGGGTTAGAAAATAGTAACTTTATTATCCAGGGCGCTAGGCCTAAAATAGTACTTATAAAGCCCAGGTACGGGCCCAGGCTGGCGGCCCAATTATAAAGATCTAAATACAAAGATCACAGCCCAATGAATGGGCTACAGCTAATTATGCTAGCACCACTAATAGGAATCGAACCCCAAGTGACTAGGTTGAGGCCGGGTATAGACTAGAGACCACTAGACTAGGGTGCCTGTAGGCCGGGTATATTCATGATTTTATAAGGACCGGGTCCACCATAAACCGGGCGATATAGATATAGAACAGGGTAAGAAAATATTAGCTTTGTTACCCGGGTCGCTAGACCCAAAATAGTACCGGGTATATAGGTACAGAACGCGAGATTCATAGATTTTTATACTGTAGATTCATAAATTCTATACTGTAGATTTATAAAATCTTTGGTGAATAATTTTATATTTAAATATGAACGAAAATAGAACTATTAAATTAACTTTTGAATTGCCTTATTTCTTTGTTAAATTTTTATGCACTATATTTGGACAAAAAAATTTAATTACATTTTTATTTTTGTTCTAGATCTTCTAAACATCTATTTTCATCTCGTAACAAAAACAATGAAGGTCCAAATTATAGGTAAAAGATAATGTGTAACACTTTAATAAACAAGAGTTGGTGTGGTTTAGTGGGTTTAGCTTTGTTTGCTATGTTAGAGGTCATGTGTTTTATCCTTCTTGGTGGCATTCTTAACCTATATTTTATACAATCATTGTATTGGTTCTTAGAGACAACACAGAACCAAACTCGTTATATATTAGACTAGTATTTGCGCACGTGCGTTGCACGGAATGAATTTGTTATAATATTTTAAAAATATTTAGATCGATATACAATTGTATAAATTATAACATCGAATATTATAAAATATAATTGAAGAATTGAGTTGCACCGATTATGTTTTATGATGTTATCAATACTTGAATTCGAGTAAATAATTGTCCAATTAATAGTTAACGTGTAGATATACGCATTCGGTGCTGCAACTTTAGAGATTTTATATATCAGTGTTTAGAATTTGTATTAATTGGACTAATTAGCTCGTTGTCTAGCAACTCAGTTATAGAAATTATTTATACGGAAGATATATTTTCTATGTAGACATATAGCAATTTTGTCATCTTTGTATATAAAAAACCATAATATCAATAACGTGAATTATACATTATTGAAAATCTCTTTGTAGACAGCATTGGTAGTAGTAACGGAATTTTATCCATCCTCGTCTAGAGTTAAAACCATCAGACCATCAGGATGGATGACTCGGGAAAAATTCACATACAATTAACCGTGATTAAAGACGAGTTTTTTTAGTAATAACTCAACGTGAGTTAGTGTTTGACCCTGACCTTTGTTGATAGTCATGGCATATGCGAGCATCAACGTGAATTGTTTTCGTTAGAACTTGAATGACAATCTCGTATCAGAAGGGCGAAAGACATTTTAATTGAAGATTTTACTTTTATTAATAGTATAAATATAGATTGGTGTAAATAATAATTAATAAATTATTATTTGCTTATAAAATTACATATAATTTCAAATGGATTTTGTCATTTATTACGCAGAATTTGTTTTCATTATTCTCACAATTATAATGGTTTAATTATTCTCAGCATTTGATAACCATCATCCATTTTTAAGTACACATTGACTTCAATGTGTGATAAAAATTCATTAGATATTAGTTAATTTTCATATAAAATTTTGTTACCAATTAAGCTTTATTAAATTTTTTTTACCAATTAATTAATATTCATATTCATTTGGGCGGGAATGTTGAAGATGATAATTTTACTTTTATTAATAGTATAAATTGGTGTAAATAATAATTAATAAATTATTATTTGTTTATAAAATTACGCAGAATTTCAAACGAATTTTCTCATTTGTTACGCAGGATTTGTATCCATTATTTTTATAATTATAATAATTTAATTATTCTCATAATTTGGTAACCATTTTTCATTTTTATATACATATTGACTTTAATCTGTAGTAACAATTCATTAGATATTAGTTAATTTTCATATAAAATTTTGTTACCAATTAAGCTTTATTATTTTTTACTAATTAATTAATATTCATATTAATTTGGGTTGAGATGTTGTAAAGGAGGATTTTACTTTATTAAAGTCATTTCACTAAGAACTTGAAGGGTGTGGTTGAGTGGAAGGGACGCATCCATCCTTATTAACCAAAGGCAAGGATTTGATCATTGCCTTTGAGAATTGAGCAACTTTAAATCTCCAGGCCAGCCCTTTCACCCAAAAGAGGGGCATTAGTCACTTTATCTAATCATGTTATATTAATTTCATTTTGAAATCATTGGTTCACATATTTGATTTATTTATTTATTTTTTAATTATTCTCGTTGTAAACATAAATGATATTGCAATAATTAATTTATAATATTTATCAAATTGTATTTTTTTTTTAAATGTAAAATTTTCTCATGTTTAGGGATTAAAAATATTTTAAAATTATTTTTTATTAGTAAATATTTTTATTTCTAAAATATTTTCCAGCAACCCAAACACTCCCTTAGTCTCTAATAAAAAACTGAAAAATAAAAGTTATTTCATTAAGAAAATTAAAACTAATTAAAGTAAATATAATCATGCTATATTTATTTGTAACTGTATATTAATTTCATTTTGAAATCATTGGTTCACATCTTTGAATTATTTATTTTTTTCTTTAACTATTATAAACAAAAATTATGATATTTATCAAATTGTATATATATATATATATATATATATATATATATATATATATATATATATATATATATATAACATTTACACATGTTATGAGGGGTTAAAAAATATTTCAAATTATTTTTTATTAGCATGTATTTTTATTTTAAAATATTTTTCCAGCAGGATAAACACTCCCTTAGGCTCCCATAAAAAAATCTGATAAAGAAAAGTCATTTCATTAAGAAAATTAAAACTAATTAAAGTAAATCTAATCATGCTATATTTATTTGCAATTGTATATTAATTTCATTTTGAAATCATTGGTTCACATTTTTGATTTATTTATTTTTTTCTTTAACTATTATAAACAAAAATTTGATATTTACCAAATTGTATTTTAAAAAATATATAACATTTACACATGTTATGAGGGGTTAAAAAATATTTTAAATTATTTTTTATTTGTATGTATTTTTATTTTAAAATATTTTTCAACAATCCAAACACTCCCTTAGCCTCCCATAAAAAAAACTGACAAAGAAAAGTCATTTCATTAAGGAAATTAAAATTAATTAAAGTAAATCTAATCATGCTATATTTATTTGTAACTGTATATTAATTTCATTTTGAAATCATTGGTTCACATATTTGAATTTGTTTTTAATTATTATAATTTATAAACAGAAATGATATTGTACTAATTAATTTATGATATTTATCAAATTGTATTGTTTAAAAAATATAAGATTTACCAGGACTATGTGGTCCAATGGTATCCGGGTTGGACTTCCATTTAAAAGGTTGTGAGTTCGAGCCTCAGTGGAGGCGTTATTAGCTCTTTGTGTTTCAGTAGGTTGAGAAAGTATATGAACAGATACTACAATGTAATAGAGCTAGTAGCATTCAAAAAAAAATATAAGATTTACAAATGGTATGAGGGGTTACAAAATATTTTAAAATTATTTTTTATTAGTAAGTATTTAAAAAAAATAAAAATTCCACCAACTCAACATTCCCTTAGCCTCCCATAAACAACTGATAAAGAAAAGTCATATCATTAAGGGAATTAAAACTAATTAAAGTAAATGTAATCATGCTATATTTATTTGTAACTATATATTAATTTCATTTTGAAATTATTGGTTCACATATTTGAATTATTTATTTTTTTCTTTAATTATTATAAACATAAATGATATTGTATTAATTAATTTATGATATTTATCAAATTGTATTTTTTAAAATATAGTGTTTTACTCGAGAATTATTATTTTTTTGTTATTATGAATTTAAAATTAAATTAGAAAAATAAAAAGATTTTAAAATGTACAATATAATAATATAGTTGGACTTTTATATATTTGGTCAAGTATCTATTTTCATAACATACAAAATTAAAATTAAAATATTGTATGGTTAGTATAATCTCTAATCATGTACATATTTAGATAAGTTTATAGAAAAAATTTATAAAATTAAATTGATTTATTCTAAATTGTATTTCATATATATTATAATTTCAAAAATATGAATAA